TTAAGTGAGGGGTCCCCCACTTAAGAACAAGGGCATCATTACATCCTGCATTCCAAGAGGAGGAAACACGGTCACCAGGATGCTAAAAGGCCTCTGTCCCCCCAGCCCTGGGCTGCAGAGCCCCCAACCCTCATCCACTGGGGTCTCCTTCTGTGTTTGTTCTCCCACAGGGGAGACGGGTAAGCACTTTGATAGCAGGCCGGCCTTGGTTTGAAATCCAGCTCCTCTTCCAGCTAGCTGTGTGATGGTGGGCAAGCTGCTTCACCTCTCTGCTTCAGGCATTGCCCAATATCCCTCAGGGGCACAAAACTGCCCCAGGTGAGAAAGTCTGGGTAGATGCAAGGCAGAGGTGCTAAGCAAGAGGTGCCCTCTACCAGGCCCCTCCGCCCACATCCTGAGACACCTGCAGCCCTGGCTCGCACTGCCTCACTTCCAGACGGGCACCTTGACCCTTAAATGTCTATGTCCCCACACCCCCCTTTACTCCAGACAGGCACTTCTGCAGCCTCTGACCTCACCCTCTGCCCTCAGACCATAGCTGGGGAGCCTCCCAAAAAGCCACTGCCCCTGTGGCTCACACTCCTTCCTTGAACAAATCGCCCTCAGCCCCACCCAACGCTCTGCCTCCTACCCGGCTCCAGGGTGAACCCCGCCCCTGGTGCCCTGGCCTTGCTGGTGCCCCCTTTCTGTGCACTGTGCCATGTAGCTCAGGAGTCCACCGCTCCCCTGGAAACCCCACTCACCCTTCACAGCCAGCTCCTGCTGAGCCCCACCCCTGCAGGGCGCCTCACTTCCTCTGGTCCCCAAGGAAAGATGTCTCAAAGCGGGAGGGCTACATGAGACCACAGGAGCCATTCTTGGAACCCTCTGGTCAGCCATCTTCGGTGACCACCATGCCACAGGATGGATGCTGTCTGCTGCCCAGCGGGTGGCACGTGACAGGACTGGCCCCTTCTTCTGCTGCCTGACACACTCTCCTTGCTCACCAACCTCCCTCCCGGACACACACACCTCTTTTCCTGTCCATCTTGCCCGGTTGCTCCTACTTGGTCTCCTTTGCAGATGTCTCCGCTGCCTTCCCACCTTCTCCCATCATGTCCCCAGCACTGTCCTTGTCCTTTTCTGTCTGATCTCCTCTCCACTGCTACCACCTGGGCCAAAGCACCATTCTCTCACCTGGTTGCCCTAACAGTCCCTACCCTGGCTTCTGCCCTCTGCAGCCTCTTCCCCACGAAGTGACCAGAGCTGGGTGTGGCTCAGATCATGTCTCACCTCTGCTCAGGACTCTCCCGTGGCACCCGTCTCACTCAGAGTGGAAGCCAAAGTCCCTATAATGGCCCACAAACCCTACATTAGGTGCCAGTTGTCCTTATCCACACCCACCTGCCTTTTTACAGTCACCTCATCCCATTGTCCTCCTGTACTCAGCCATGCTCTACATTCCTGCCACAGGGCCTTTGCACAAGCTGCTCCTGGTGCTTGGAAGATTCTTCTGAGAATAGGAATGGCTTCTTCCCTCACCTTCTTTAAGTCTCAGCTACTTAGGGGGGCCTCTGGGACCACCCTATTTAAAACTGCAGACCTCCTCCATTCAGTACAGCTTAAACCCCCAACCCTGCTCTAATTGTTTCTTTGCAATCATGGCGTGGCAAAGAAGTACTAGAAGTATCGTGTACTTTACTTCTTTAGTCTTTATTTCTTTATATATATATATATATATTTTTTTTTTTTTGTTGTTGTTGTTGTTGTTGTTGTTGTTGTTGGCACCAGGGATCGAACTCGGGTCCTTGTGCTTGTGAGGCAGGTGGTGGAACCACTGAGCTAAATCCCTAGCCCATTATTTTCTTTATAAAGAATGTCAGTTCCCCAAGGACAGGGATCTCCTCTTTTTTTTCAGCCATATCCCAGGGCTGGCAAAAATTAAGGGCACACATTAGGAGTCCTGAGTGCAGCAGGAGTGGATGTCTTGCCAAGACCAGGGTGCCAGTGGAAAGGCGGGCTCGGGAGTCTATACATCTGGGGGCGGTGAGCCTTTCTGGGGCTCCTACCCGTAACATGGAGACGCTGCATCCCCAGTGCTCAGTAAATGCTGGTAACGCACCAGTTAGAACAGACCCCAGCACTCTAATGAGATGTGCACTTTTATATGCAGGATTTCGTATCCCTTTCACGCGAGTCCTAGAGGCGAGTAGAGCCCCTTTTGAGAGCTGGAGAAATTGAGGTCATTCCCACACTCTGGGGCGGCGGCCGGAGGCTCAGGAGGGTCGGGCTGGGCTCGGAGACTACATTTCCCAGGAGCCGGTGTCAGCGGGGCAGGGATAAAGGGCTTTAAAGAGCCTCGCGTTATTGGGGGCTCGGGGGTGGGCAGGAGAGCCGCCGGCGTAGGGCCACGGGTGGGCCCGGCTGGAACCAAGCCCCCCCCCCAGCCCTGCGGTGTCCAGGACGCCAGGCAGCCTGTGCTCATTTTGTACCCCCACCCCACCCCGGGCCTCGGTGCCCAACTCCCAGGGAACCCCCCTCCCCGCAACAGGCGGAGGAGAGGTGGTGGATCCCGCCGCCCAAGGCGCAGAAGGGGAGACCGCACGCTGGAAGCCCGGCTACCCGGGCGCCCCTCCCCCTCCCCCTTCCCGGCTCCAGTTCCGGGGGAGAATTCCAGGTCGCTGGGATGGGCGGGGAGAAGAGATGTGCGCGACAGCTTGGAATGAAGGCTGGGGGTCGCAGGAGCTGAGCCTCACTCCCCCCCGACCTCGTTCCTCCCTAAGCCCCGCGGCCACCACAGTAAAATGGGGGTGTGCAGGTAGTGATCATATTACCAGCCCCTAGGCGGGAGGCGCAGAGGATGAGAATCCCGGATGAGAGCAGTTTACAAACTGTACTGCGCTGGGCGATTTAAAAAAAAAAAAAAAAAAAGTCAACATTGTGTCATTGGATTCCTGCAGTCCTCATTCTCAGCCAGGTGGCGGTGACATGTCTCTGGAGAGCGCCGGGTGGAAAACGTCTCGGATACTGGGGTGGCTATGGGGATGGATGTGCGTTTCCCCCACCGAGATCCTAGTGGGAACCGGGAGAATTGTTTTTGAAAAAAGGACCAAAACAAACCTACCTCGGTATTTTGTTCAACTTCGGGGGGCTAATTGACATCATCGAAGTAAGAACCTTGACCTTTTAAACTAACCTGGCCCTCCAGGGCTTCGCTTTCCTGCCTGTGCCACCGAGATAAGCCCAGGGACACCGCTTCTGACATCGGATCTTGGGCTCCCCTTCGCCCTCCCCCAATTATTTGGATTAATCCATCCCTTGATGTTAGGGGGGGCACTAGTTTGCCCTGGTCTCAGACTCCTAAGTGCAGTAGTAGCCCTCCCCACATCCCCTAACTGCGACCCACCCCCTCATCTAAACCTTCCTCCCCTCCCCCTCCCCTGCAGGACCTCGGTGTCCGCAAACAGCTCCCGGGCCTTACCAGAGACGCGTTCGTCATTTTGACTAGCTACAAACTGTCACTCCCAGGGTATTGTTTAATTAAAAAGCCTTATTTCGAAGGGACTAAAACCGTGTTTGTTGAGAGAGGGTGCCAAGGGGCGAGCATCCCCCAGAATCTTAGACCAGGGCCGTGGCCAAGTAGGTCTGGCACGTGAGTAGCAGGTCTGCTGCAGACAAGGGGTCCTAAGGTGTTTGGGGTCCCTTCCGCTGGTCTCTGACGTCCTAACGTCCCTCCGAATGCCAGGACTCCCTACAGAGCCTGGCACCCCTCATTCGCTTTGTCTATACCTGCCTAGTCGCACCCGGGAAGATGTATATATTTTAACAAAGGCATTGCATCTTCCAAGCAAAATGGCGGTGGTCCCAGCCACGGCTCCCTACACAACTACACCCTTCCCGAGGATTAGTCACAAGCCAAGGAACGCGAGCACCCCACACGCCTACCCCAGAGAGCCCCGTTTTCCCCAAGATTCAACGCACTCAGGGCCTCTCTTCATTGCAGGGGCCCCCAGGAGCGGTCTCTGGTTAGAGACTTAGGGGCAGCTCTTCCATTGTGGACCGGCCCCCCCAACACATACAACACTTCCAGAGGCCTTGGGAGGGGGACTGAACCCCCACGCTGGGCATTGGGATGAGGGGGCAGCGAACTCTACCTCACACCCCCCAAAACTCGCAAGCTGAGTGAGACATGTAAATGAACTCTCAGTTAGGATACAGGGCAGATGTGGGGGTCTCTGAGGACAGCAGGATACCGGGAAGAACTCCTCCATGTCTCTCTGGAGACCCAGGCATGACTGGGGGTTCGGCCTCCGGAGGGAACCTCAAAGCAGAGGTCTGGGGGCGCGCTCGGGAAGAGACGCCCCAGGAGGGGGAAGGGACAAAGTTTGAAAGTACCCTTCCAACTCTTCCTGGGAAAGTTTCCTCGGGGGCCCTACGGACAGAGAGAGGGTGGGGTACTGGGGGGCCAGTGGTGGGGTGACTCCTGAGAGGTGACCGGACCCCGGGGGAGCGACCCCTCCCCCCTGTCCCGGCTCGGCCCGGCTGGGAGTCGCCCAGCTCGGGGCTGCGTGTGTTAGTTGGGGCCGCTTTCCAGCCGCTCCACCGGGCTAGGGGGCCGCGCAGCGGGCCGGGAGCCGGGCCCCTGGTAGCTCCAGGGGAGAGCTTTGCTACGGGGGTTCTCCCGCCGCCGAAGTCCCCGGCCCCGCAGAGCCAGTCCCCCGCAAAGGGGAAATGTGCCGGCGCCCCAGCGGCCCTTGGCGCCGTTTGGGACGCATGGCGGGCGCGGGGGGCGGCGGCCCGGTCCGCGGGTTACCCAGCGGGGGAGCCCAGGGAGCCGAGCAGCGGCCCCGGGCGGCGGCGAGGAGCAGAAAGCCCCAGGCCGGGGGGAAAGGTCGGATTTGTTCGGCGGAAGAAACACAGATGGCGGCGGCGCGGCGCCATTCCGGGCCGGGAGCAGGCAGCCAGCAGCCCTGTCCTCACCGCGGTCCGCCCGCCGCCGCTAAATACCCGGATGCGCCGCCCGAGCGCCAGACGCGGAGCTGGAAAAGGGGAGGCGGAGGAGGCGGAGGCAGAGCGGGAGCCAGGCGGTCAGACCGAGCGGCAAACCGGCGGGGCTGGGCCACGCAGAGCCGGCCCAGCGAGCCCTCCCGCGACCCGTGCCGGCGAGGAGAGAAGCAGCGGTTCCTCGCCCGCATCCCCGACAGCCCGAGTCCGGACCGGCCTGGTAGTCGGGGGCCCGAGAGCAGATTCCTCCGACGAGGGCTGGCCCTTCGGCAGGCGCCTTCAGCAGCGGGACCAGGCAGGCCACCATGACGGAGAACTCAACGTCCACTCCTGCGGCCAAGCCCAAGCGGGCCAAGGCCTCCAAGAAGTCCACAGACCACCCCAAGTATTCAGACATGATCGTGGCTGCCATCCAGCCCGAGAAAAACCGTGCTGGTTCCTCGCGCCAGTCCATCCAGAAGTACATCAAGGGCCACTACAAGGTGGGTGAGAATGCTGACTCCCAGATCTAGTTGTTCATCAAGCGCCTGGTGACCACTGGTGTCCTCAAGCAAACCAAAGGGGTGGGTGCGTCGGGGTCTTTCCGGCTGGTCAAGAGCGACGAGCCCAAGAGGGCAGTGGCCTTCAAGAAGACCAAGAAGGTGGTCAAGAAGGTGGCCACGCCAAAGAAGGCAGCCAAGCCCAAGAAGGCTGCCTCCAAAGCCCCAAGCAAAAAACCTAAAGCCACCCCGGTCAAGAAGGCCAAGAAGAAGCCGGCTGCCACGCCCAAGAAAGCCAAAAAACCCAAGGTTGTCAAGGCCAAGCCAGTCAAAGCATCCAAACCCAAGAAGGCCAAACCAGTGAAGCCCAAAGCCAAGTCCAGTGCCAAGAGGGCCGGCAAGAAGAAGTGACAAGGAAGCCTTTTCTTACGGACACTCCTCTCTTACTCTCTGTAAATACTTTTCCCTTTTTTCTTTCTTGATTCTCCGCAACCTTTTGCTCCATTTATCCTGACTTTATAAGAGACAGACTTTGGATTCCTCAGAAATTGTGGAATAATTGCTTTTTCCTTTACCAGTTGTGCAAGGACGACAACAAATCTCATCTCTGTAATGATGAGGATGTACTTATATTTCGTTTTGTTGATTTGCCATTAATCTTACGGGGTTCGGGATTTGGGTGGGTTCTGTGTTGGTGGGGGGGTTGCTATGAAGGTAGGTGGGGAAGGGGAGAACAGGCTCAGCAGCTGCGTTTGTTCTCGATAGGTGAGAGGGAGCCCAGGAATTGTGAAGGTTTATAGGACTGTGTAAGGTTTTCTTTAAGTTGGGCTCCCTTATGAGAATTTCCGAACCTTTGGCGAGGAGCAGTGGGGTGACATCTCCCAGTGGTGAGCAGCTAGGGGTCCGAGGCCAGTTCTTTCTCACCTCGGTCAGCCTACCCTTCTGGTCTCCCTATTGTGTTAGGGAAGAGGAGGGGGACCGAATGACAGCTGATTGGGGAAACTAGCTTCTCCCGGTCAGCTAGGAACCAGCCTGGGGGGCGGGGGGCGCGTCTGTGCCTTCGCCCAAGTCTCTTAATGGGAGCGGAAACTTTGGGGGGGAAGGGCGGGGAGTCAGTCAGCCAAGTGCCTCAGTGTGCCCTATTGAAATGAATCTTGGGTTTTTCCACACAATTTGATAGATTATTGTGTCTTCGGAGGACTTTTTTTTTTTTCTCTTGGTATTTTGTTCCTCTACAAGACGTGGCTTTGCTTGGTCTGGTAGGGCTCCAGCCCCACCACCGGCTACTTAAAAACCTCCCGACCTCTTTTTACTTTTGAGTCTTTTTTAAGTAGTTGTAGACGGGGAGGGGGCGGGGCAGGGAGTGGACGGTAAGACATACTGCAGTTGATTTGGAATTTGCTACGTAGTTATAGAAACTAGATCTATGTGCATGTGTGTGTTTTGTATATATGCATATCTAGGGCTACTACTTAGGTTTCACATCGGGAGCTGGGAGAAAAAACCTGTACAGTTGTCTTATTTTTAATAGGAAAATCGCGCACTTGCGCCCCCCCCCTTACCCCCCTTTTTAAAACAAGTATTACTTGTGCCGGGAGAAATTTGCTGTCGTTGTAATTTTAAAACTTTAAAATAAAATCCAGAAAAGGAAAAAAACGAGCAGTGTATTTTTCCTCACTTTTAAGACTGGAGGAGTATGCGGAGCAGTTGTGTGGGCAGTGGGGACATCTGGGGCCGAGTTTGCACCTGAGAATGGGAGGGGGGATCCGAGAGCCGAACAGAAACCTTAGAACTGAAAGATGCCTCTGCCCGTTTCTAGGCTCCAGCCTTTGGGGTCCAGAGGCACTCTTCTTCCAAGAGGTGAGTGTGTGGGCAGGGGGATGGGAATGGAGTGGGCTGGGACCTGACGTGACTAGTTCCGCCGCCTCAGCTTCCTCTGCGCGGACCTCTCGGTCTCCACTTGAGTCAATCCACCGATACCACCAGGCTCCTCCCCTTTAAATGAGCCCCTCGGCCTCCGATTGGCTGCTAGGGCCCGGCCCCCGGCCATATGACGTGTTGTCCGCGGCGCGCCAGCCCCAGCCGGCCGGCGCGCTCAGATGAGGTGCGCGATGTGGGCTGTAGGTGTCTGGCGCTTGGCGCTCGCCCGGACTCCCTGCGGCCGCCGCGCGCAGTCGGCGCTGGCCCAGCTGCGCGGCATCCTCGAAGGGGAGCTGGAAGGGATCCGCGGGGCAGGCACCTGGAAGAGTGAACGGGTCATTACGTCCCGTCAGGGGCCGTGCATCTACGTGGACGGCGTCTCCGGAGGTAACTCCCCCTTCTGGGAGTCGCGGCACCTGGCTGGTGATCTAGGGGCCCTCCGGGGCTTACCCTGGAATAGGGATCCAAGGGGCGAGGGTTGGGGTCGTACTTGCACCATAGCACCTGGTGGCCTCCCCTGGCTAAGTAAACCTGGTTAAACCGGTTTCGAAGGAGGGAAGTGATTTACCCGTGAACACCTTTTTGGCGCAGAGGGCAAGGCTGGACCGAAAAAGAAACTTCCAGACTTCCAGCTGCCTCCTTCATTGCCATTTCGAGGGAGGCAGCAGCAAGAAAACCCGGATTTCTTATATATATATATATATAGTCTCGCTATGTAGCACAGGCTGGCCTCGAACTCCCGGTAATCTTCAAGCCTCAGTCTCAAGTGCTGCTGGGATCACAGGCTTTCACACCACCCCTGGCTAACACCCCCAATTCTAGAGCAGCTGCTTTGTGAAAACCTTTGCTAGTTGCTGCACGTGTACTGCTGCTAACCTGTCAAAGTAGGAGTGACTGATCTCATTTACAGCCAGAGAAGCTGAAACCCCGAGATGTAAAGTGTTTTGCCCAAAGCCTCCCAGCCAGCAAGCTGTCCAATGATACTGGAGCTGGAGTGGAGGGTCAGCTAACTGACCAGAGGCCAACTTAGGGCCAAAGTCTAAGAGAACAAGCTTAGATTTGAGGACTTTTGGGAAAGTGACAGACACATTGGCCACAGCAGGTGTCCCTCCTTTCATTCTAGCCTGTGAGCACTGCACTCCTATTTGTGCCTGGCCCCAGATGGGTGTTAACAACAGGCTCCCAAATTGGCATGGAATCCTTGGTGCTGCTGTATTCGTTTGTAAAATGGGGATCCCAGGAAATCCCTGCTTTCCTGTGGGAGGCACGGAACAGGTCCATGCCCCTAACTACTGGTGATTATCCTCACTTGTCTTGTCAGAGGCTGAACACCTGTCAGGGCTTTTGGGCAAAGCCCTCAGAGAAACCAAACAGCTGTCATATCTATGTAGAGACCCAAGGGAATTCAGTGTTACTTATATAATCAAAGATGGCCAATTAGGAGACCCAAGTTCTCATGCTGACTTTGCCTTTCCCAGGCTGTGAACCTCCCCTTCCTCGGGCTTCAATTTCCTCTTCAGGTCAGCTGTGTTCACTCTGAGCCTTCTGACTCCAGACTGAGGTCTCCGAGGCAGCCACTCTGGGGTGTGATTCTGTCCAGGCAGTAAAGTAAACCTTGGAGGACTGCAGCGGGCAGTGTCCCAGCCCTCTTCTCTTACCCTGGAGGAAACTGAGGCTGAGCCGAGGGGTTGATAATGGTCTTCAGGGACAGGAGAAGCCTTCGAGGAAGTGGTAATAGGTTCCTTCTTGGGTAGAAGGTGATTCAAAGCCAAAGTGTAAGCTTCTTGGAGCCAGTTGTGGTGGCACACGCCTGAGATTCCAGTACTTGGGAGGCTGACACAAGGATTGAGAGTTCGAGCCCAGCCCGAGCTACATAGTGGGACTGTCTCAAAAAACCAAAAATAAGGGCCAGGGATTTAGCTCAGTGGTTCAGCCACCTGCCCCACAAGCACAAGGACCCGAGTTCAATCCCGGGTACCAAAATACAGAACCCAAATGTAAATAAATCTTCTCATCCTTCAAGTTGCAGCACTGGAGAGACTCCTTTTCTCACCTTGGCTCTCCTGTGACTGTTGGCTTCAGAAACTCCTGGTGGCCCCCACCATGGCCTAGGTCCTGGCCTGTATCTTCTGGGGCTGTTGTGGAGTTTTCCAGGACAGTTCCTCTCAGGACCACTTCCCCGGGGTCTGGTGCTGTTCCCCTTCCAGGCCCTTCCTTGCCCAGTCTGAGCTGCTGTGTCCATCTCCTCTTTCCACCTCAGGAATCCTTAACTTCTGTGCCAACAACTACCTGGGCCTGAGCAGCCACCCCGAGGTGATCCAGGCAGGCCTGCAGGCTCTGCAGGAGTTTGGAGCCGGCCTCAGCTCTGTCCGCTTTATCTGTGGGACTCAGGTACACAGTGAGGGTTGGATGGGTGTTGACGCCAGCTGTCTGCTTCCCATGGTCAGCAGGGCTTGGCCCACTCAGCAAATCCCAGGGCTCAGGCTTGAGGCCCACGTTAGCCCCAGAGCTGCTGAGAAGAGAGCCTAGCTGCCTGTTTTGCTGAGAAGCCTTGAACAAGAAACTTTACCTCCTCTGTCCCTCCCTTCCTTTCTTCCTTTCTCTCTCTTTCTTTCATTTATTTATTTTATTTTGTGGTATTAGGCATTGAACCCAGGGCCTTCACACTGGACTCCATCCTCAACTGTTTTTTTTTTTGGTACCGGGGATTGAACTCGGATCCTTGCGCTTGTGAGGCAGGCGCTAGAACCACTGAGCTAAATCCCCGGCCCCCCTAACCGTTTTTTAATATTTTGAGACAAGGTCTCACTAAAATCATTACATTGCCCAGGCTGGGCTCAAACTTTGTTTTTTTTGTTTTTGTTTTTTTGGTACCAGGGATTGATCTCGGGTCCTTGCACTTGCGCAGCAGGCAGCCAAACCACTGAGCTAAATCCCCGGCCCTGGGCTCAAACTTTGAATCCTCCTGCTCAGCCTCCAGAGTCCTGGGATTACAGGTGTATGTCACCATGTCAGGCTAAGAAACTTTACCTTTCTGAGCATCCACTGTAAGCATGTTTCCCCAGCTGCAGGTGAGAGTCCTCTCGCCTGTCCTGCTGAGGGTAAAGAACAGACGGCAGGTTTTGAGGTTGAGGGCTCTGGAGCTATTCTGCCTGGCCTTGGTTTCCAGTGCTGCTGCTTATTGGCTCTGTCACTGTGGGCCAGTGTCTTATCCTCTCTATGACTTGAACCCTTCATTGGTAAGATGGGGACAATAGTACATAATAGGAATGTTACAAATTAAAGAGCTGGACATAGTGGTGCGTTCCTATAATCCCAGCACTCTGGGAGACTGAAGCAGGAAGATCTCAAGTTGAAGCCCAGGCTGCACAGTTTAACAACTTAATGAGCAAATAATGTCTCAAAATAATAAAAAAGGTCTGGGTTATAGCTCATTGCAAAGGCCCTAAGTTCATTCCCAATACCACAAGAAAAAAAGAAACCTAGTACATTTAAATGCTTAGAACAGTACCTGTTACACAGAATCACTTAAATGGTGACTGTTATTTAGTCAATGTTACAAAACAAATTAATATAAACATAAAACTTCTATTATATTACTATGTGCCAGGTATTCATGAATCCTCCTGCTTTACCCATGTTATTAACAGGAGGACCCTGAGGCACATAGAGGTTGATGACTTATCCAATAGAACACAGTGCATTAGGGTGGGATTTGAACCCAGGTAGCCTGGCTCAAGAGGCCCTGTTCCTAACTTCCTATAGGTATCATTACCTATTCCAAAAGATGAGGCTAAATGAACATCAGGGACAGAACTCCTATCTCCCATCCAGGTACTTCCCAAAAAATCCTCGGCCAAATGAAGTACCTTTTGAATTTAAGCAGCAAAGACCCAAATGATCAGCTAGGTGTAGTGGCACACACCTGTAATCCCAACACGAAGGAGGATCACTGCAGGTTCAAGGCCAGCCTGGGATACATAATGAGTCCAAGGCCAGCCTGAACTGCATAGCAAGACCCTGTGTCAACAGAAAAGAAAAAAAAAGAAAACAAAAAGAGCCCCAAATGAGTGCAGAGTTTATGTAATCCAAGCCAGGCATGGTGGCACAAACCTGTGATCCTAGCACTTGGGAGGCTGAGGCAGGAGGATCACCGAAAGTTTGAGGCCAGCCTGGGCTACATGTACATAGACTACATAGGGCCAGCCTGAACTACAAAAAAATAGTCTGGTATTAGGAAGGCATATCTTGTTTACCATCAACATACATAATTCGGGCTGGGGATTTAGCTCAGTGGGTCTGCTGCTCGCCTCGAAAGCACAAGGTCCTGAGTTCGATCCCTGGTATTAAAAAACAAAACAAAACCATACATAATTCCACCACTGGACAGATGTGCATTACAAAACCAGGATCCACCTGGGAAGAAAAAACCTAGCAAGTCCCCCACCCCTCAGTAGAGCCGTGTACCACCTTCCTGCTTGGCTCTGTGGTGGCCTGTGTGGTACAGAAGGAAGGGTGAGGCTGGGGCTTCGGGACTCCCAGGCAGGGTCTCTCTCTATGGCCCTCTCGGCCTCTGTTCTCTTAAGATTTGTTCGACAAGGCCCTCCAGGCATTAACACCTCCTGTCATACACTTTCCGTAGAGCATCCATAAGAGTTTGGAAGCCAAGATTGCCCGCTTCCACCAGCGGGAGGATGCCATCCTCTACCCCAGCTGTTTTGATGCCAATGCCGGCCTTTTTGAGGTATGTGGAGCTGTGAATGGGAGTTGGTGTGGCTGTGGATGGCTTGGGGATGGGCAGTTACCAGAGCCTGGCAGGATGGTGATGCCATGCCAGGTGGCTCTAGTGCCCTTCCTAGAGGCCAGGCGGGTCAGGTTAGTGTTCTAGGCGGAAGACTGGGGCTTGCAAGGAGCCCTCCTCTAGAACATTTCAGGGATAACCTGTGCCAGCTAGGAGGCTGGGGTGATGAGGCCTGGTTCTTCCCAGATCTCCTCACCTGCCATCACTGGAGCCGGGCCCTGGCAACCCAGATGCAGTGCTGGATGCCTTGCCTTCCTGCCCCAAGGGAGGCCCTGGCTGCAGTGAAATCATGACTCAGGGGACTCATGGGGGAAGGCGAACCGGAAGGTGACTAGGTGACTTCTCTACTGAGGTTGCTTCCTCCAGGCTCTGCTGACTCCTGAGGATGCGGTCCTGTCAGATGAACTGAACCATGCCTCCATCATTGACGGCATCCGGCTTTGCAAGGCCCACAAGTATCGTTACCGCCACCTGGACATGGCCGACCTAGAAGCCAAGCTGCAGGAGGCCCAGGTCGGGTGAGGCCCGGGGTGTGGAGGGTGAGCACTAGGTTCCCCTCAGCCTCCCCTGGGGACAAAATGAGGCTTGGAGAGGCTCTGCCCTCACTAGACCAAGAGCAGAGCCCAAATCCTCTGACCCCAAAACTATTTCATTGTAGCTACTGCCTGAGGGCAGCAAATGCCTTTGGGGTGCAAGCCCTGGGCAAAATGCGGGGTGTGCTGTGTGGCTAGGGCCTGGCGCAGGACCTGAGACCCTTCTCACTGTCCAGGCCTGAGTGGCTCCCATCTGCCCTGGAAGAGATGGTAAACTCTGGAGGGGCCCAGATGGGAAGACCCCCAAGGTGGTTGTGCCTCTGTGCCCATCTCTGAGGGTCCCAAGCAGCACAGGGAATATGCAGTGTGGTCCAAGTCATGACCACACCACTCACCATCTGCTCATCTTTTCTGCAGAAGCATCGACTGCGCCTGGTGGCCACTGACGGGGCCTTTTCCATGGATGGCGACATCGCACCCCTGCAGGAGATCTGCCGCCTCGCCTCTCAATATGGTGCCCTGGTCTTTGTGGACGAATGCCACGCCACTGGCTTCCTGGGGCCCACAGGACGGTGGGAGCACATTGCACCTGAGACATGGGTGGGGCTTCCAAGGGTTGGGGAAACCAGGAGGCCAGTGGCATCAGTGGCTGCTTCCCTTGCAGGGGCACAGATGAGCTGCTGGGCGTGATGGAGCAGGTCACCATCATCAATTCCACTCTGGGAAAGGCACTGGGCGGAGCATCAGGTGCCACAGGGTTATGCCCCCAGGTCCCCTTATCTTCAGGGAGCGCTGTGGAGGAGTGTCAGGACAGGCAGGGCAGATGTGGGGTCACAGAGAAGAAGGCCCCATGGACTGTACTCTCAGGAGGGCTCTGGGCTTGGCCTGACCACCCCCTTTCCTTACTCACAGGGGGCTACACAACAGGGCCCGCACTGCTGGTATCCCTGCTGCGGCAGCGCGCCCGGCCCTACCTCTTCTCCAACAGCCTGCCTCCCGCCGTCGTAGGCTGTGCCTCCAAGGCCCTGGACCTGCTCATGGGGAGCAGCACCATCGTCCAGTCTATGGCCGCCAAGACCCATCGGTGTGGCTTCGAGCAGGGCCTGGGCAGGCTGGGGGCTGTGGTGCCAGGCTGCCCAGGTCACAGATAACTCCACACCTGCTGGCTTGTCCTCTCCCTGCCTCCTGAATCCCCATCTTGTCAGTCCTTTTCCACCTCTCTCCTGTTCCCCCTGCCTGGCTCCCATCTGCTTCTCGAGGTCTGTCTCTCTGTCCTTACTGTTTCCTCTTGCAGACCCCGGCATAGATCCTAGCCCATGTGTCCTTGAGGGGCAGGTATGGTTGCTCTGTGACACTCCTAGCTACCTTTGACACTCAGCTGTGTCCCCAGGTTCCGTACTAAGATGGAGGCCGCTGGCTTCACCATCTCAGGAGCCAATCACCCTATCTGCCCTGTGATGCTGGGTGATGCCCGCTTGGCCTCTCTCATGGCAGATGACCTGCTAAAGAGAGGTAAGAGGCTGCACTTGATTAGCATGCTCAAGGCCCTGGGTTTGCACCACCCCAAAATTTTAAACTAAGCTAGGCATGGTGCATGCCTGTAATCCCAGCACTGGGGAGGCTAAAGCAAGAGGATCTCCATGAGTTTGAGGCCAGCCTGAACTACATAGACCCTGTCTCTAAATAAACAGGTAAGGGAGCTGGAATAAAAGGACTGGTGGGGGTCCAAAGAGCAAATGGGGAACCTAGTAGACAGTCATATTCCCCCTTACCCCCGTCCTCCCCTCTGTGGGCCTCAGAAAGTAGTCCCTGTATGCTATGCCCCCAAATTATGTCTGGCTCTGGAGTGCCCTTGCTGTCTACCTTCCAGGCATCTTTGTCATCGGATTCAGCTACCCAGTGGTCCCCAAGGGCAAGGCCCGAATCCGGGTGCAGATCTCAGTGGTGCACAGCGAAGAAGACATTGACCGCTGCGTAGAGGCCTTTGTAGAAGTGGGGGAGCTGCATGGAGCACTGCCCTGAGCTCTGGTGGGGACAGAAGAGTCAAGGAGCCCCCACTGCCCTGGGCCGGGAGGTGAGAGGGGGCTCTAATCAGGCCAAGAGGCTCTGACCTGACTCAAAGTCCTAGGGCCAGGGCTGGGGATTTAGCTCAGTGGTTCTGCCTACCTTGCAAGCACAAGGTCCCAAGTTTGATCCCGGTACCCCCCCACACCCAAAAAAACGTCCTAGGGCCGGGCTTGCAAGAGCCCTGTGCTTGTGGCTATGAGTGAAAAAACAGCGTAAAGACTGGCTGGACACTTTGGTCTACTTTATTCTCCCTCAGCAGGCCCAGTCCTGTGGCCGGTCGAAGAATCAGGTTGGAGCTGGGACTGAGGCCTGTCGAGCGCGCGCGTGCGTGCTTGCGTGCGTGCGTGTGTGTGTCTGTGTGTCTGTGTTCCCGTGTTCCCTTCTGTTACAAAGCTGTCAAATTGAAACGTAGGCCCTTCTGTCTCGCCGCCAGGGGACGCAGCGAGCTCAGCTCCTACAGCTGCCATCGCCTGCCCCGCCCCCTCCATAGGAGGGTTCAGGCCGTGTCTGAGGTGTTTGCGAAGCCCACAGACAAGGCTGAAGGGCCAATTTGCTGTCGCCAAGGCCCCATCAACCCTTGTCTTTCGCAAGAGTTGGCTGCTCCGCTATTGGAGGTTCCAGCCTCCTTCCCACAGTCGCTGCCCTTGGTTCTAAAGGTGCTTCCGGAGGAGGAGGGTCTCCGTTGCTCAGCCTTGAGGGTGTTACAGGTGGGGCTGGGTGTGTGTTCTGAATCAGCGAGCGCCGCAGCTCTGGCCTGGTCTCAGAGTGCTGTGGCCTTGGAAAGCTCATGGTTTGCTTGTAGTGGGGCAGGATGACAAGGTCCTTCTTCGTGAAGGACAGGAAACTGGGCCCGTCTCAGGCAGCCACTCGTCTGCCAGCACTGGGATGGATGGTCTGGGCGAGCCTGGCCCAGTCCTGCAGGTGCTTCAAGGTGGGTTCTGGGAATCCTGGCCTGCAATCCAGAGGAGCTCAAGGCTGGGGTCCAGAAGGGATGCAACCCAATGGGTGCAGCTGTGGCCACATGGTCGGCAGGAGCACTTGTGGCTGCCACCACAGGGTTAGTACCTGGTGCCAGGCCCCCTGCTTCAGGGCTGTACACACCCAGTGGTGGCCAGGACTCCACCAGCAGCTTCATCTACTGTACATGGTGTGTGCTGGCTGGCAGGCCATGCTCAGTGGCCAAGAACAGAACTGGGTGCCAACCCAGCGAGCCCAAGACATGAGCCCCTATGGGCTGTCATGCTCTCAGTCAGCTCCAGGCTCAGCGTGCCCAGCGCCCTGGCAGGAGTCCACCAACAAGTGGCTCCTCTGCCATCCAGAAGGAGTCACAGAAAGTATCAGGCAGACACAGCAGCCACTCTGGGCACACATGTGTCTCAGCTTGGTGTTTGCTTGTGGTTGTCAGAGGCATGCAGGGCCGGAGTGCCTGCTTCATATTAGCTGCAATCAGTTCTGTGGAGCCAAAAGCTCTGAGAACTGCTCCCAGTCCTCTGCAGTGGGCACCAGTTTCAAGGCTGGGCCACCAGGAATAGCAGCAGGAGCAAGGACACACTGGAGTGTGCGCCATGACGGTGCCCCTCCTGCCTGCCCAGCATTGGCACTCTCAGAGTCACCTCTCCTCCCTGTTGTCCTCACCTGCAATATCATGCTAGTTTGGCCTTGCACTGCCTTCCAGAGCTCTTTGGCCTGGAACAGCCTGAGCCCATGCCCAGGAAGGGGTGTGGAGACCCTGTCCTGAATCTCAGGGGTTTTTCAGGCAGCTGATGTGGACGATCCTGGGGTTTATGAATATGCACTAAGGTATCCAGGCTCCTGAGGGTGCAGGGTGCATTAGTGGCCATGATTCACCTAGCCACACTAGGTCTAGAGTCCCACAGTTCCCCTGTTCAAGGACCATAAGATACTACAATTCTAATGGTTCTGCACTCACCTTTGAAGAATCGAGGTCTGCTTTCTAATAGCTTCTATTCAGTGAGTCTGCTTCCAAAAACTTGGGCTTCTCTGCATCTTCAGTGGGTGACAGGGCTGCAGAGGCACAGCCAGCCCTGGTGCACAGCTCGGAGGAATTGGTCCTGAAGAGTCTTCCCTGAGCCTCAGGCCTCAGATGCAGCTCGAGGCTCTGCCAGTGGCCCTCCAGATTTCCCCTCTCCTCTCAGACCTCCTCTGGATGGCCCTCCACCCCCTGCTTCTAGAAAACTCTGTCCCTTCCTAACTCACCAAACTGCTTTCTGTCCTCACTACCTGTCTAGGGTACAATAGCCTCCTGGTGGCTAAGTCCTGTACACCATGCTCCCCAGGACCCAGCCCCTCTACCTTCTAAAAGCCTTTGCCCATGTGCCACTGCTCCAAGGGTTTGGGCCCAAACCCCGTGACAGTCACATAGCCACTCACCAAGACCTGTTAACCTCTTTGTTATTTGCCTGGACAAAAGACTCCTGACAGGTCACTCATCAGATCTCTCCCCCTCAGTCCATTCTTTTTGCCCTAGGCCATAATAAATTTCTTACAAAATAAAATGTGCAGATCATATTCTAGCTCTAGAACCTTAACTAGCTCCCTGGGTTTTTTTGGGTTTTTTGGTACTGGGGATGGAACTTGGGTCCTTGCGTTTGCACAGCAGGCAGCGAAACCACTGAGCTAAATCCCCAGCCCCTAGCTCCCCGTTTCTCTCAGGCTAAAGTGAGACTAGGACAGGTTTTCCTAAAACCCTTTAGTTTTGTGATTTTTTTTTTTTTTGGTACCGGGGATCGAACTTGTGCTTCCAATGGAGGAACCACTGAGCTAAATCCCTAGCCTTGGATTAACCCTTTAGAACAAGCTACAAAAGGAGATAAACCCCTGGGAGTTCACAGGACCCAGGGAAGGGCAACTGTGTTACTTTTCTTTCTTGGCTGAGACAAGACACCCAAAGTTAAAAAGGGTTTATTTGGCTCACAGTCCATAGAGGTTTCAGTCCATAATCAGCTGGCTCTGAGTCTGGGATGGCAAACAAACACTGCAGAGGAGAAAGAACACGGCACGTTCAAGGCAGAAAAGGTAACGAGAGTTTAAACAGCATCTTTCTGCCCCTTTTATTTTACCAGGATTGGGGTGGTGCCAAACTAATCACTCACGTGTAGAGATTTAGTAATCATGCCCCTAACCCCAGCATCACACATTCCAGATTGAAAAAGAAAGTCCCACTTCACCCGAATGAGGCTTTGGGGGGACATCTAAACACAAACCATACAGCAACCCTCCTGAAGTCTGTAGAACGGGGACTCGTGTCCTGGCTTCCCTGCCCAGGAAACTCCATTCAAAACTAGGAATTCCTTCTAAATTCAGACTGGATCCCTACTTGGAGCGGAGAGGGGTGAGGGACAGGTGGAACCATCTGCAGGGCCACAGGGAGGTGGGAGTGATGGGAATGGGCTGGGCACTGGGCACTCAGGGGTTAACCACAAAGCCAGTGTGAGAGCAGATCAATGGTTAACTCCCAGCAAAGGAGAGAGCATGAGGCAGCAGCGATGCAGAGGCAGAGAAGAGCCCAGCAGAAGAGCATGCCACCAGGGGAAATCATGCACTGAGGAGGTGGCCAGCGGCTACTCCAGAGGCAGTGCCCAAGTCTGACCCAGCAAACGGGGGCAGAGGAGAGGAGGTGCCCTAGAGGTGAAGAGGGAGAGGTAGGAGGCAGATTCCACTTGCAGGGTAGCACCAAGGGGCAGTCACCGGATCAGGAGGCACCTCAGCCTGGCAGTTTCACCCAGGACCAGGCAGCAGCTCAGTGCCCAGGACTGAGGTGGGTGGTGCCCAGCCTGGGCTTCGGGAGCCTGGGTGCTGGGTATTGGGTGCTGGGTGGGGCACACACTGCCTGCCTTTCATTCTCCCTGCCTCCCTGCTCCCTATCCCTGTTCCCCAGCCCTGCTCCCAGGCAAGTGAGGGAATCCACAGGTGGTGGGAGACGTGGGCTGAGCAGGGTGAGAATGGGCACAGGCGTGTGTGGGCACATACAGGTTGCCAGAGGCACCTCCTGTTAGCATGGAGTCAGGATAGCAGGGTGGCAGCCCCCAATCTGTCACCCAAGGTGTGCTATTAGCAGCCATGTCTCCTCCCTGGGTCTTAATTTTCCCAATGTGCAAAAGCAGGGCAGTGACCTATCTGGTGTTCCCAGCTTGGCCATTGTGGGGATGCCACTAGACTGGACTCTGTGGTGCCTCAGGAATGTCATCCGTATCTTACTGAGGCTGCAGCTTGTAGCCGGTCATCATATCCTAAGGTCACCTGGTGTTGCCACAGCCCCTCCCCCACCTGCCATGTCTTCATCGTGCCTGTGTCCCCAGCTGCCTCTTCAGTTGAAAATGTCTATCCACAACCCAGGCTAAGTTTCCCAGGAAAAGAGGAACTGCACCCAGCCACCCCAACATGCCATTGTGATGTGCAGGGGGCTCGCTCACTCCATGGGTCTCAGGAGTGACTTCTGGCTTTGCTCTCCCTTCCCCTCAACTTCCTGTCCCTGAAGAGCTTCCAGGCTAGCACATGTGGCCAAACCAGGATGGGGACCTGGGCCCTGGGCCAAGTGACCGGAGCCAGGGCCCCTGCCTGAGGACTCCGGCTTCTCTTCCCCAGGTGCCATCTGATGTGGAGATGGCTGATCCCCAGAACATTTCGATGGACAGCCCAGGCAGTGTGGGGGCTGTGGCAGTGCCTGTGGTCTTTGCCCTCATCTTTCTGCTGGGCACAGTGGGCAACGGGCTGGTGCTGGCTGTGCTGCTTCAGCCGGGCCCAAGTGCCTGGCAGGAGCTGGGCAGCACCACAGATTTGTTCATCCTCAACCTGGCAGTGGCCGACCTCTGCTTCATCCTGTGCTGCGTGCCTTTCCAGGCCACCATCTACACACTGGACGCCTGGCTCTTCGGAGCCCTTGTCTGCAAAGCCGTCCACCTGCTCATCTACCTCACCATGTATGCCAGCAGCTTCACGCTGGCTGCTGTCTCGGTGGACAGGTGCGCCGGGCTGGGCTGGGGAGGGGAGACCTGGACACATCCTTTAGAAGGGTAGGTGGGAGGCAGGGAAGGAAAGCTCTCTGGGCCCCTGTAAGACATGCACGTAGGGACCATCCTGTCCTCCCGCACCTCCACCCTCAGATTCCAGAGGGCACCTCTGTGTCCCATGTCACCACACCGCCTGGCACATAGTAGGTGCTCTGTAAGTATAAAATGACCCCAAAAGACCCCACAACCCATTCATCAGATATTTTATAACTGCCCCCACCTGACCCAGGCTGTGCCCACACCTACTTCCATGACTCGCTGTCTGACCCAGGCTCACTCCCCAGCTCATGATGCTTCCCTCTGAGCCTCGATGTTTGGCTCCCATGGGAAAGATTTCGGTGAACAACATCTAACAGCCATTCAGCCCTTGCTAGGTGCCAGGCACTGCCCACTGCTCACCGCTTGCCAATTCCCTGAAGCCTCCCAACCTCCCCCACACCTCTGTTCAGAGGAGGAGATCAAGGTCCCATCGTCCCCGGGTCCCCTGAGAACGGTGTGGACGCGCGGCCTGGCACAAAGTCGCCCGCAGCCTGCGCTCACCCGAGCCCGCCTGTCGCCCGCAGGTACCTGGCCGTGCGACACCCGCTGCGCTCGCGGGCCCTGCGCACCCCGCGTAACGCGCGCGCCGCCGTGGGCCTGGTGTGGCTGCTGGCGGCGCTCTTCTCGGCGCCCTACCTCAGCTACTACGGCACCGTGCGCTACGGCGCGCTTGAGCTCTGCGTGCCCGCCTGGGAGGACGCGCGCCGCCGCGCCCTCGACGTGGCCACCTTCGCGGCGGGCTATCTGGTGCCGGTGGCCGTGGTTAGCCTGGCCTATGGGCGCACGCTGCGCTTCCTGTGGGTCGCCGTGGGCCCCGCGGGTGGGGCGGCGGCCGAGGCGAGGCGACGGGCCACGGGCCGCGCGGGGCGCGCCATGCTGGCGGTAGCCGCGCTCTACGCCCTCTGCTGGGGCCCGCACCACGCGCTCATCCTCTGCTTCTGGTACGGCCGCTTTGCCTTCAGCCCCACCACCTACGCCTGCCGCCTGGCTTCGCACTGCCTCGCCTACGCCAACTCCTGCCTCAACCCGCTAGTCTACGCGCTTGCCTCGCGCCACTTCCGCGCGCGCTTCCGCCGTCTGTGGCCCTGCGGTCACCGCCGCCGCCACCGCTCGCGCTGCCCGCCCGGTGCTCGCCGCGCGCTCCGCCGCGTTCGCCCGGCGTCCTCGGGCTTGGCTGGCCGCCCTGGCGACGCCAGGCCTCGCGGGGAGCTGCCGGCTGGCGGCGGCTGGGGCGCGGAGTCCAGGGGGAAGCATGCTCACCGCATAGGGACGTCGCGAGCCCTGCCTACCCGAGGACCTGAATAAACCTGGCCAGTCTGGACTCTGCTGCGTCCTTCATCTGTCAGTCGCTTACCCGGGGACAGACGCCTTTGGCTAGGGGACGGGGCCATGGCAGGAGCCCTCTGAAGAGCATTCAGGAGGTGGCCCGACTTGTCTAAGCTCCAGCCCAACGGATCCCCCTGGGAGCAGTGAAAAAAGTTCCCTCAGCCTGGCACACTGTGCCCTAAGCTGGGCTGGCAGGAGAGCAGCTTTCTGTCTATTCACCTGGCAGGCACTTTCCAGGTCCTCCTTCCTCCACCACCTATTACTGGGTCCTTTCTTGGTCCCAAATCCCTGGCCTATGTGATTTAATGCTAGTAGCTAACAGCACATGTTCACGAAACTCTCACTGTGTGTGCTGGGTTAATATCAAGATAGCTTGGCAAGGGAGCTAGGCTCAGCCACGTTTTACAAATGTAGAAATCAAGGACCAGAGAGGCTTAGTGATTTGTCCAAGGTAGGATCATATAGCCAGTGTTCGGTAGAGGTTGGAGTCAAACCCATGCCTGTCTAACTTTTTTTACACAGTGGCCTTTCTTTTCCACCTCTGGGGCCTCTTCTCTGTTTCCATGGTTTCCGCAGGTTTTCTTGGTTCTTCCTGCTTCACTTTTCCAAGGCTGCAGTTCTCCAGCTCCCCATACCTGTCTGGTTGCCCTAGAAACCTCAGTGCACTCCCTGTCTCCATCCTTAAGGAAGTTCTGTGTGGCTCCCAGGCGGTGGGGCCAGCTGGGTTTCCCTGGCTGTCCAGCGCTGCATCCATTCCCAGGTCTAAACACTTTGCCTTCATTGTTCCTTCAGGTGCTCCTGGTTCCAGAGGGACACCAAGCCTGGGTTGGGTCCCAGCTGGCCTCCCTGTGCCCCAGCTACTCCATGGTCCCCTCCCTCTCTCCGCCTCTCACAGCTGGGGAGGTCTGCGGCTGTAGAAACCACTAATTAACCAATAAATCAGTCTCAATGGTTTCTGAGCTGCACACCTTCCTCCCTCCCTTACCACACATCAATAATGTTTATTAGCTTTGGGGTTGAGGCCTGAGACCCTGTGGCCTCCATGTCTCCTCAGGATACCTCCTAGCTGCTGGGGCATCCTCGTCACTGCCCACCACCTGCCACAGCCCAGGGGTCAGAGTGGCAGCAGGAGGCTGAGACCAGGTGGGGGGTAAGGGCTTCCAGGGCAGGGCCCTGGTGTTTTTTCTCCCATGTTCTGCCAAGGTTCCCTCAGCTGACTCAGGACACAGCGTTGGAAGTGTTTCCCTGAAGAAGAGGTGTGATGCTGCCCCATCCAATTACCCAGTGTATCTCTTCTGTGCCTCCACCAACTCTGGAGGACAGGGGATAGTATCTCCATTTTCAGACAGCAAAGCTGAGGCTTTGAGGTAGGGTCTGAGGCCAGAGTTCAGTGGCAAATGAATGGCAGGGCTAGGGTCCAAGCAGCCCAAGGGACATCTCAAAGGCACCCCAGAAGCACCAGGGAAACATGTAAGGGTAGTGACAGAGTTCACTGCATGGCAGATGGCGAGTGCTCACCAAGTAAAAGTGTAGAACAGAATGTCACTGGTTGGCTCAGGCTGTGGTCATTTCAGCCCCCGACCTGGGCTGTTCTGTGGGCAGGGAAAAGGGACTCAACTCAGAATGGCCAGGGAGTGACAGAGCCAGAGTTGGATCCACGTGTAACCCTCCACATTTGCCTGGGGTTTGGGTTTGGGGACTCTCCTCACCTGGTGACAGGCAGCTGTACAGCCCAAACTCCTATGTGGCAGTCTGAGACCTCCTGATTCAGATGCTCTCAGGTCTCTGGCCCAGCATAGCCACACAGGGGCCCGAATCAAAGGGAGACAGTGTAGCCTGGCACACAGTAGGTACACAGCAGAGACTAGGTACAGGTAGACGGGTGCCGGGGAGGAAAGACTCACCTTGTCCTTTTCTTGTTTTTTTCCTTTATCCTCAAACCATGTGTGAGCCTACACTAAGCTAGGCTTGGGTACAAGACAGGGACACCTCAGCTCATGCCTGCCAGGAATACTCAACATACTGCACCCAAACACCAAAAGGAAAAAGGACAGTGCTGCTGCCACAGGAACATGGATCTGGGACAGAAGGACACACAGGGATCTGAAAGGGCACAGTGGGGTAGCTCCTGCCTTTCTGGGCAATCTGAGCAGGAATCCCAGAAGTGTATTTAATAGGTGTTTTCCTGGAGAAAGGCGAGCACCAGCCCTAGCCAGGTAGGTGGATAGGAGCAGTAAGTGGACTCGTACACCTGGAGCAGGGTGGGATTGGGCACAGGAGGCCACCAGGGTGATTGGGTAACAGGAGTGCCCTTGAGGGTTCCCAGGAAGGGACAGTCCCATCAGAGGTGCAGCTCAGAGCACCCAGGGCTGTTATGCAGAGGCTGGGAGCAGAGGGGACCAGGAGAGGCTGCTCTCAGCTCTAGGGAGGAAAACCAGCCAAGCTGCAACAGGGCTGGGAAAGCACTTTCTTCTGCCATAGGCAGGGCAGAAAGATTGATGCCTGCTGCTGGGCTTGGGCTTGGCTCCTAAGGCCCCTGGCTTTGCTTCAGGAGACTAATGAAATGCTGGAAGAACAGATGGTCATAATAATTTGGTTAGGAGAGAGGTACGCTTCCGGTAGAGCCCAAGGCAGGCAATGGTAGTGGCAGCAAAGGCTGAATAAGCCCTGGCTGGTGCCTATGATAGGAGGAGGACCAGGCCCCTGCCAGGTCACAGCTGAGCCTGGGGCAGCCTTGAGGGCTTCTGCCTTGCCCACCTACTGTCCAAATCTCTTAGGCCTGAGGACCTTCTAGGAACAGGGCACCTCTGGAGGCAAGAAAAACAGAAGCAGGGGGACTGTGGAGCCAGAGAACTCCGAGCCTAGTGGGCGTCACCAGGAAGGACTTCCTGCAGGAGCCAGCACCCGAGCCCACCCCTGAAGTGGGAGTCACCAGGGCCAATGGGGAGAGGAGGGAAGGCCTCCTGGCATCAGGGCACAAAGCCCCTGCAGGGGAAGGTGGGCAAGCTGAGCTGGGGAAGTGACTAACTCTGCATCTGAAACAGAGGCTGGGGTTCGTCCTGAAGATAACAAGGAGGCACTAGAATGTTTTAAACCAGTGACTTGATAGGATTTTGGGAGCTCTCTCTGGCTGCCAAGGCTGGCTGTTTGGGGTGGATGCACAGAGGGACTGGGGCAAGGAGATCCCGCAGGAGGGTGGGTGAGAATGCAGGAGATGGAGGATCTGGGATATGGGCAGTGGGGAGAAGTGGACAGCGCTCAGGAGGCATGATGGTCAGGACTTGGTGAGGGCAACAAGAGGGGGTCCCGGGTGACACCCCAAACTTGGCTTGGGCCACTGAGGGTGGCAGTGGGGATGGCCAAGGGGGCAAGGCGAGGGGAAGAGGATGAGCTGTGTTGGGACCTGTAGAGACCCCTGGGCCTGGGTGACATGGTGCGGGCATCCACAGGGTGGTGGTGTGCTGAGTACCTGCTGTTTTAGACTTTGTACTTGGCCCTGAGACTCACGTCGTCTGCTTTTAGAATTTTTTTTTTTTTTTTTGGTATCGGGGATTGAATTCAGGACCTTGCGCTTGCAAGGCAGGAGTAGTGCCACTAAGCTAAGTCCCCAGCCCATCTGCTTTAGAATTTGAAGATGGAGAAGCTGAGTCTCAGGAGATTGAGTAACATGTCCAAGATCAGAGAACCAGGCCGAAACAGAGTTGGGTTGTTTTGATTTTTTCTGGTACTGGAGATTGAATCCAGAGCCTTTACACTGAGCTCCAGCTCCAGCTCTTTTTTTATTTTTAAATATTGAGACAGGGTCTTACTTCATTGCTAAATTCTCCAGGGAGGGCTCATAACTTGTAATCCTCCTGCATCTGCCTCCCACACTTCAGGGATTAAGAGCTGGGGTTTTAACTCACATGTCTGACTTGGGGTCCAGGATCTTGGGGGAAGCAGTGGAGGGAGAGACTTGGATACGGCCTCCTCACAGCCTCCACCCTGTGGCAACAGTGGCAGGGCTGCGGCTTGGGGAGGGCAGGCAAGGTGAGAGCCCTGGCACAGCCTTGATAACCAACACCTCTGTGCCTGATGCTGTAGGAGCATCGTCTATCAACTCTGAGGTGTGGACCTCAGGAAACAAACTCCAATTAACCACCCTGATGTTTCCTGTTAATGAACATCAGTTCCTCAGCCCTGATGCAGGATTCATTTGTGAGCTGCTGGCTGCAGGCGAGACGGCAGGAAGCCAGAAGGCCCGGCTGAGCACGGGGAAATTGTTTCTGGCTTAAGAGGACCCAACTGACTTATTGAGGCAGCTGCTTGATGCCAGGTTTACTGGCCTTTGTAGGAGTGAGGTTGGAGCCAGAGGAAGGGTGGAGAGGGGCAAAGTTGCCAGGATCAGGGAGAACTGGAGGTGCTGGGTGGCTGTGTGCTGAGGGGGACATTGGCTTGGGCATCTGGTGGGCCCCAAGGGCAATTCTGGCACTGTTGTGCTGGGGGTAAAGCATCAACTTTGGAACCACACAGTCAAGTTAGAATCCTGGCTCCTGCACTGCATAGTTATGACCTCTCTGGGTCTTAGTGACCTGCAGAGCTGAGCTCTGAGCCAGGTCCTGTCTGAAGCACTGGGGATGTGTCCAGAGGCCTCTACCCCGGCTCCCTGATGGCCCTCAAATCCAGCCAGGAGGTACAGCTCCTCCACCTCTGCCTGCCGAGTGCCTCTGTGACATGGCCATCCTCCTCGCTTCCAAAGCCAGGGACAGTCTCCAGGCTCACGTGGGTCAGCCAGAGCGGCTGCTCTGCGAGCATGGGGACACCGAACACTCCAGCCAGAAGCCCCAACCTGGGCTGTCAGGCAAGGCCCCTTGGCCTCTAGAGCCTGCTTATTGAGCAAGATGAGCACAGCTTCACATCTCATGGGCCCTGAGGTCCAGTGTTAGGGCTGTGGCCTGTGACTTCCCTTTGGGGCCCAGAGCTGGGATCCACATCTTTGTTGGGAAGCTCAGGAGAACAAAAGGTGCCATACAAAGCAAAGGATTTTCACACCTGTAATCCCAGCACTCTTGAGAGGCTGAGGCAGGGAGATTGAAAGTTTGAGCCCAGCCTGGGCAACTTAGTGACTGAGCAAAAAGTGCTCGGGGTATAGCTCAGTTCCAGAAAACAAACAACCAAAAAAACCTCCACTTCGTCTGGAGATGAAATCAGCAAATACGGATTCTTCTTCCTGCCTCTGCCCCCACTCTGCCACAGTATCAGCAGCTCTTGGAGCAACCGGCAGCAGAACCAACCCGAAGCAACCTCCACTGAGTTCTCCCCAGCCCCAGCCTAGCCAGCAACCAGGGTCCACTTGGGTGTTTTCTTTTCTTTTTTTTTTGGTACTGGGGATCGAACTCGAGTCCTTGTGCTTGTGCAGCAGGTGGCGAAACCACTGAGCTAAATCCCTGGCCCCACTTGGGTGTTTCTTGACTCACTCTCTCTGAGCCAATTTTATCCAACTGGCTCTTCAGACAGAGTTTGGGTTGCAGGAAACATCCTTGGGGAAATGGGAAGCAGACTGGCTGGCTGCCCAGCTGGCTGGCAAGTGTTTAATGACTGACCTATGAGCCGCCTCAAACTCTCTGTCCATGTCTGCATGGCCAGGGAGGGAGTCAACAACAGACACCACCTTGTGCCAGGGTGTACTCGGGGACTGAGGCCCAGGTCTGGAGATGGTGACCCAGGACTGTGAGGTGCCAGGCAGTCAAAGCTTGCATGGGGCTGGGGTGCAGCTCAGAGGTGGGGTGCCAGCCTAGTATGCTCCAGGCCTGGGTTCCATCCCCAGCATCACAGAACACAAGTCCAGAAAACCTTGCATCACCTGTGGGGGTTCATGCCACTCCAAGGGCCCACTTGACTGAACCTTCTTGATCCACCTGAGGGTGAGGCAGGAGCCCCACAGGAGGATTCCAAGAGGGGCAAACCAGAGCTTGTTTGCTTCCCTCCTGCCCTGCCTCTTCTCGGCCCTGGATCCTCCCTGCCCTGCCCACTTTAGCCATGGCAGCCTGGAAGAGTGCAAGCTTAAAGGCACCCTTGGGCCCCACCTGGGCAGGTGCAGCTGGAAGGAGCCAAGTCACCTGGACAGAGAGGAAGGGAGGAAAGAAAGCTACTCCCACCACACAGTGGCTCCTAGCTCCTCACTTCACAACATCCAGCAGGGAAACCTTTTAGGGCACCCCTGGTCCCCACACTCCATAGCGCTCTGCCTTCCTAGCCCTACCAACCTGGGGTGCTTTGGGCTTCCCTCCTGCAGTGTCCCGAGGGCAGCCCTAGGTTGTGCAAGTATGTTTTGTTTTGTTGAAACAGGGTCTTGCTATGCAGTTCAGGGTAGCCTTGAACTCAATACATAGCCCAGGCTGGCCTCAAACTCAGTGATCCTGACTTCCTCCTCTTCAGTGCTGGGATTACAGGTGTGACCACCACACCCTGCTGGGTTGGTATCTTACACCTATTTTCCTCCAGGGCTTGGGGACCCAAGAGTTCACTTAAGACCCAAAGTGTACCAAACTGGGACATGGGGACAAGCTCTCCTCTGAAATAAGCTAGGATTTCCAGACTGGGGCAAGGGAATGGAGCAGAGCCACACAGGGGACACTGAGTGAGCCCCTGAAGTCCATGGTCACAGCATTCTAGGAGGGGCAGGCCAGACACAGCCCTGCCAAGGGGGATGCTTCTCCTCCTGGGCTGGGGCTGCTGACAGGACTAAAACCTTCTCTGGAGTGACCCTGAGCCTCCCTGCTTTGTTAGTTTCCAACTGCTGTGATAGCAAGTCACAAAATGGCTCAAAATGACAGATTTATTCTCTTACAGTTCTGGAGGCGTGGCGCTGAAATCCATCTCACTGAACTCAAGTCCAGGTAGATGTCAGCGCTGGTGCCTCCTGGAAGTTCCAAGAGGAGAAACTGTTTCCTTGCCTCTGGCTTCTGGAGGTGGGTGGCTTGCGTCCCTTGGCTCCAGACCCCTTCCTCGACTTCCTGCTCCTTCCCCTCCAAATTCCTGCCTCTATAGGCACATGTCCTATTTCCTCTTTCACCTCCTTCGATTAAATCTGGCCCATTTAGGTAATTCAGGATCATCTGCCTCAGGATCCTTAGTTAAATCCATGAGCCTCTTTGTCAGGTAAGGGAAGGGGAAGGGTCACAGGTTCCTGGGATGAGGACCCGGGCTCTCCCACGTGTAGGCAGCTATCAGCCAATGACAGTGAAAGCTGCAAGACGGCTCCACCCTCCTGGTGCTCCTGCAGCTGGGAGGAAAGGGCTGGGGACTTCCTGTCTTGGGCTCAGCAGGGTCCTTCCTAACCTTGGTAAGGTTGGAGTGTCTCCAAGGCTCCCCTTCTAACCAGAGAAATTCACCAAAGTGTCACTGTGAAAATCAGGCAACGAGCTTAAATCTACATGCTGGTGAGAGGTGCAGGCCATGTCACAGGCCAGCGCTCCCCTCTGGGCTGAGGGTCCCCTTCCTAAGTGAGCTCATGGCAACCAGCTGACGGCCAGGAGGAACACAGAGGAGGTCTGGAGCCTGTGAGGGAAGTCACAGATGAGTGGGGGCTGCTGGGACACTGCATGGGCTACAGCTGAGGTGCAGCTGCAGAGGCTGGCCTGGTCCCTCTGGTCCACAGAGATGATAGATGGTGACTAGGAGTAACTTCAGGGTCATGGAGAGTACATCCGAGGAAAGTATCTGCCAAAGTCCCAGACACTGGGCTTCTCCTTTGTGATGAGGAGCAGAGGGCAGGACAATGGCAGGAAGGCAGGGAGACTTTCTCGCTACCTCTTCTCCATGCTCTGCATCTGCAAACTGAGGGAGGTGAAACTGGCCAGCAGGTCAGTCACTTCATCCACCTGTAGGACAAAACCCAGGCTCTGTTCCAGGTGCCAGGGTACCCAGGTCCCTCCATCATCCCCACCACAGGCACAGGACGCAGGCATCACCTCCCTCCCAGGGGTCACGGTGGCCTGTGTCTGACTATGGGACAGTTGACACCAGGGTGCAGGGCTACTACAGCTTCAGGGGACATGTGAGGAGGTGCAGACACAGGCTCTTCTGCATTTTTTTTCCTGGTACAGGGAATTGAACTCAGGACCTTGTGCTTGCCAAGCAGGCACGGTGCCACTGAGCTACATCCCCGCCTCAGACACAGCCTCTTCTGCTGGTGCATCCGGCTGTGCAGGTGGGGTCTGGCCTGGCTAGAGGCTCACCTGCTCCTTGGTGCTGGTCATCTGGAGGCGGGTACAGAGGTCATCTAGCCGCTCACGTTGCTCGTACCGCCCCAGGCGCTCCAGGTACTCCCGCAGCATGTGGATGATCTGGAGGGAGAGGAGCACTGAGCCGCTAGGGCCTGGCAGAATGCATGGGGAGGTCGTGGGCACATGGCAGCATGGCTGTACGAGCCTGGCTCCTGTCCTGTGCTGGCCTGGTACCTTTGCTCACCTGTTTCACCTCCAGCCGCACAGCCTCCAGGCACTGGGAGTGGCCCTCCTGCAGGATGTTCAGCTTGGACTTGGCCAGGTGCAGGGGTGTGCGGCCTGCTCGGTCCAGGGCGTCCACGCGGGCCCCTGCAGGAACAGGTCAGGTCAGCATGCTGGGGATGAGGGCGAGCGGAGTGGGGAGAAGGGACCACGTACCTCCTCGAAGCAGTGTGGTGATGACAGGGACGTGGTTGGTGCAGGCCGCTGAGGAGGAAGAACAGGGACTTAAGAGTCCAGGCCCAGCGGGAGGAGGGAGCAGGGTTATGCCTCCCAGTGTGCCGGGCCAACTGATTCCTCCTGAGAAGGTCACCATCACCAGACAGCAGCTGGGAGGATGCAGCAATAAGTCCAACCCACTCCATTTACAGCTGGGGAAACTGAGGCCTGGAGATGGAACCTGTGTCTTGTAAAGGCCTCATAGCCATGGTCTCTGACAGAGAGGCTAGGAAGCTATTCTAGCTGTGAAGCTGTGGTGCACAGGGTGACTGAGTATCCATGGGACGCAGGTGCCTAGAAGTGTGGCCTGGGGCTCAGGCTTGCCCAGGTGCTGGGAGACACTGCTGGGAGCCAGTGGGACCCCAAGCTCCCATCTGCCGTGCCTGCTGATGCTACAAGGGGTCCTGGTGACTTCTGAGCACTCACCCAGGTGCAGTGGTGTATTCCCCAGCCCGTCGCGCTGGTTGGGGTCGGCCCCATGGTCCAGGAGCAGCTGCACTGCAAACAGGGAAGCCCAGGAGGCATCATCAGATGCTGTCTTCTCGAGGACCCACACCCTCGCCTAGCTGCAGGCTTGCTCAGTGAGGATGTGACCACCATGATGTTGTTTGTGTTGTTCCACTCACTCACTCACCACTCAACAGGGCTCATGTGCAGGGCCCTGAGGCAGGAGCTGAGGGTTTCAGGAGGCTCTCTTGGCCCATCCAGGTGCCATGCAACTGAGGTTGTTTTCCTTCTTTCTTTTCTTTCTTTTTCTTTTCGTAGTACTGGGGATTGAACCCAAGGGCACTCTATCACTGAGCTACATCCCCAGCCCTCTTAAAAATGTATTATTTCAAGATAATGTTTCACTAAATTATCTAGGCTGGCCTCAAACTTGAGATCCTCCTGCCTCAGCCTCCCAAGTAGTTGGCATTATGGATGTGCACCACCAGGCCCTGCATGAGTGAGGTTTTAAGGGTTAAGGAAAGTGCTAGTGAAGGCTTCCAAAGGCTCTTCCTGCTCTTCCCATAGCCAAGTGCCACAGTGAGAATGAGGCCAGCAGATGACGCCAAGCTCCAGGAAAAACCTTCTCCTCCCTGACCATCTCTGGGCCACTCGAGGATGGGCTGTGGTACTGCTGTGGCTTGCCAATTACCCAGCTGGGTGGGCACACAGGTGAGCCAACCTGGGTCCAGGACACTGTATGGGGAAGCTGAACCTCACATCACCCACAGCAGTTAATTCTGGAAGGATCATAGACCTAACTGTGAAAGCTGAAACAGGCTTCTAGAAAACAAACAGGAGAATATCTTCATGACTATGGAATAGGCAGAGATTTCATATGTAGTCATAGAAACAGTAACCACGCAAAAGAAAAAATTGATAAACTAAATTCATTAAAATTAGGAAGTTATGTTCATTGTAAGGTACCACTCAAAGACTGCAAAGGAAAGCTCAAAAAGACAAGTCAGGGCCAGGGATTTAGCTCAGTGGTGCTGCCACCTGCCTCGCAAGCGCAGGGTCCTGAGTTCGATCCCTGGTACCAAACAAACAAACAAACAAAAGACAAGTCAGGTATTATCAGTAAATGATTTATATCCAGAATGATAAAAAATTCCTATGGCTAGGAATGGGGGCATACACCTGTAATTCCAGCAGTAGGGACAGGAGGATTTCGAGTTCAAGGCCAGCCTGAGCTATATAATGAGTTCAGGGCCAGCCTGACTACATGGCAAAAGCCTGTCTCAAAAAAAAAAGAAAGAAAGGAATTCCTACAACTCCATAAGACAGCATGTTCAGCAAAATGGACCAAAAAAACTTGAACAAATATTTTGCAAAAGAAGATGTAAAAATGGCCAGTAGACACATGAGGAAGTGCTCAATCTCACTGGCCAGCAGAGAAATGCAAGTTAAGCCACAACAGGACGCTACAGACCGGCTAAAATTGAAGACACCCTTCTCCACATGGGCAAGGGTGTGGGACAACATGGGACCCTTGTGCAATGCTAGGGGATGGGAGTGGACACTCAGAGAAAGTTTGGCCATACCCCACTGACCGACAGTCCCACTCCTGGGTTCACACACACAGAGGTGAGTGTTTATAGCCACCAAAGCACAAGCATGAGAACGCTTGCGGCAGCATTATTCGTTATTCACAATGGCCCAAGCCAGAGAGCAACATGAATGCTCCTCAACAGTAGGATGGGCAAAGGGGGCTATCACAGCGAGACACCAACCAACATACGAAAGGACAGACTATGGACTCATGCCACATTCATGGGAAGTCATGCTGTAATTTTGGTACCGGGAATTGAACTCATGTCCTTGCGCTTGCGCAGCAGGCAGCGAAACCACTGAGCTAAATCCCCGGCTCCCATTCTGTAATTTTGAATGGAAGAGTTGTACAGCTGTGTGCAGTGCCCCACACCTGTGATCCCAGCTACTCAGGAAGCTGAGGCAGGAGAATGGCAAGCTCATGTCCAGCCTGGGGAACTTAGTGAGACCTTGTCTCAAAATAAAAGGCTGGGGGTGTAGCTCAGAGGTAGAGTGCTTGCCTCCTATGCACAAGACCTTGGGTCCAATCCCCAGGACTGAACAACAAAAAAGAACTTAAGAGTATGCATAAAGCAGCACAGATTATGCACTTTCATTGATGTGAAATTCAAAAGCAAGAACCCTGGTCCATGGTGAATAAGGTCCAGATGGTGAGATGGCCTGGGGGGGTAGGAGAGGCTGCTGGGATCAGGGAAAGAGTGTCTATGCTGGCCCGGGGGTGCCTCAGCAATGAAGACACACAGTTCACTGTTGGAAGTTACATCACAATTTTTTGTTTTTTTTGAGACAGGTTCTGTAGTTCAGGCTGGCCTTGAACTCTCAGCAATCCTCCTGTCTCAGCCTCCCAAGTGCTGGGATCACAGGCATGCGCCACCACATGCAGCTAGTTAGACCATAATATAACACAACAGGGTGCTGCCCTGTGCTGTGCTTGGCACTGCCTGAGTGTCTAGAAATCTCCACCACCCATCCCTGTGCTGGGTCCTCACAGCAGGCTCCCTTCCCACTTGGACTCTCTCACATTCTCTCCCCAGGCTTAGTCCTTCCCCACCTGGCAATGTTGGCTTCTCAGGCCAAGGGACAGGGTATTCGGTGCCAAGTCTCCCTGAGATGCAGCCCCTTGGGCATCCCGAGGCTGTGCTGCCTGACCGCTCACCATGGACAGATGCCACTTGCCCCACCCCACCCCAGCCCCTCCCAGAACTTACCGATCTGGTCATTGCCATTGCAGGAGGCAAAGTGGAGAGCAGTTCGGCCCTTGTCATCTGCTGCACTGGGGTCCACACCATCGTCCAGCAGCTGCTGCACTGACAGCACCAAGGAGGAGGGAGGGAGGTGAGGAAGCGGAAGTGTCAGCCCTGTGCAGGCCCTATGGGGATGGGCAGTAGCTCTGGGCCCCAGAGAAGGTAGCCACAAGGCAGGAGAAAGCTGGTCCCCAGATGCTGTCCCCACAGACCCTGCCATGACAAGGGACTTGTTGTCCTGAGGGTACAACTGAGGCTGAGGCAGGAGAATTGTGAGTTTGAGGCCATTCTGGGCTACATAGTTGGGCTACATAGCAAGACTCTATCTCAGAAAAAATCAAAAAGAAAAAGAAAAAAGACCTCCCCTACATAGCCTTTGACCCTGTCCCTCTATCTCAGCTTGCATCCACATCTATTCCGGCTACACACAGCTGCTCTGCTACAGGCTGATGCTTATTTGGAGGGGCAGCTCCCCAGGAGGCAGCCTTTTGGACTGGAAAGAACACTGGTTCTAGGGAAGCACAGACTAAACTCCAGGCTAAACTACATAAAAAATAAAGGAGTCCACTGCCAAGAGTGTGAGAAGTAGGGAGCTAGGCTGAGGGCATCCAGCAGGGCCTGGATCTGGGCCCCAGGGCACTGCAAATGGGCAGAATCTCCTGCTCCTGATTGCCAGGGCTGCTGTGATGAGAGTAATGGATGTGAAATTCCTTCTTTGGAGTCTGCAGGCACTGTAAATGGGAGGCGTCACACACTAATGTCTGCAGTTAGCTGAAAGGGGGGAAATTGCTGCCGAGCTTCAATCTAGAATCAGCATTTCAGTCTCGTCCAGCAAACCTCTCAAGGACTTTTGTCCTCCCAGCCCAAGTCCAAATTTCATCCCCTCACAAGCCGCTGGGCGAAGTCAGCCCTCTCCTGCGCTTCCCAAGCGTCCTGCTTGTCCTGCTCCTTCCCAGCCACAGCCCTAAAACAATCCCATCCCTTTACACACTGAGCACAGCCAGGTGCCAGCACCCAACAGACAGCTCACTACTCAAGCTAGGTAAGGTGTCATGTCCCCTTCACAGAGCTGGAGTCTTGGGCCTGGATGGACACTTTAACCCAAGCAATAGGAACAAAGCTGGAAGGCAAATCTGGGTTTTTCCTAGACTTTTTTTTATAGCCCAGGCTGGCCTTGAATTGCAGTGATCCTCCTACCTCAGTCTTCTGAGGGCTGGGATTACAGATGTGCACCACCATGCCTGACTTAAACCTGGGTTTTTCTGCTCCAGAAATCACAGCTCTTCAACCAAACACATCACTTTTTTGTGTCTTAGTTTTTGCTTTGGAAATGGGATCACTGCACTGTCGTCTCCTCCAGCTATGTTGTAGGTTTTTTTCTTTGGTATCAAGCACAGTGTCCGGTTAGTAAGGTTGGCTAAGTCAGTGCTGCTGATGGGGTGAAGAAGTGGATGGGGGTGGGGACACTGGGACAGCAAAGTGGAAGTAAGAGCTCTGGGTAACCATGGAGTCCAAGAGCACATTTACTGAAAGGGAACAGAGCAAAACAGCCCACTCTGGTACTGTGATTTGTGCAATTAGAGCCTTTGGAAAAAGTACTTTCGCTGCCTTTCGAGCCATCAAAATATGCATGCCTTTTGTTTTGATGTGACAAATTGTATACCTGGAAGGTCATCTTGAAAATGAAAATAGATGACACTAAATAACTCTGTGCCTTTCCAGGGCTCCTGTGCTCCCATTAAAAGCCGTGGTTGAAGGGGCCAGGGATTTAGCTCAGTGGCACCATGCCTGCCTTGCAAGCGCAAGGTCCTGAGTTTGATTCTTGGTACCAAAAAAACAGTTGTGGTTGGGCTGGAGATTTAGCTCCGTGGTTTTGTCGCCTGCTGTGCAAGTGCAAGGACCTGAGTTTGATCCCCCGTATCAAAAAGTTCTGGTTAGGCTGGGGATTTAGCTCAGTGGTTTCGCCGCCTGCTGTGCAAGCGCAAGGATTGGAGTTCAATCCCCAGTACCAAAACAAAAACAACAACAAAAACAACAACAAAAAGTTGTGGTTATGGGACCAAGGTGATTGCTTAGCAGGAGATGGCTCACCTAGCACACATAAGGCCTTGGTTTCAATCTCCAGCACACACACCAAAAAAATCATGGTTTTAATTGGGGAATGGAATTACAAAGCAATTTGGGGCTCTTTCCTGAGATGGGGGTCTTATTATGTGCTCAGGCTAGCCTTGACTCCTGGACTCAGGCGATCCTTCTATCTCAGTTTCCCAAATAGCTGGGACTATAGATGTGCATCACTGGCCTCACTTTGATTTTTGATTTTGACCTTATAAATTTTAGAAGAGTAGGGCTGGGATTTAGCTCAGTGGTTCTGCTGCCTGCCTTGCAAGTGCAAGGTCCTGAGTTTGATCCCCAGTACCAAAAAAAAAGAACAGTTATACAGTTGTATATTCATTGTATAAATAGGGAAAAATGATGAATCTCTCTTGAAAAAATGGTTACACAGACTATACAAAATATTCATAATATACAAAATATTATGTGTGCTATAACACATATACAGCAGTTTGTAAGCCCATAAAAAATGCAAAAAAACCAAAAAAATAAGTAAATAAAACAGAGAGATAGCAAGGTGGGAAGGACATAGCCCACTGTTGCTGGACTGGATGTGGGTGGCCTCTCGGAAAGACAGGGAAATAGAGTCTACCGTAGAACCTCCCAAATGAAAGCTCGCCAGCCCTGAAACCCGGTCAGTAAGACCTGTGTGGGCTTCTGACCTAGGGAACAGTATGGTTGTACTCACATGGCTGAGGCTTCTAATTTGGGGTAATCTGTTAAAGCAGCCACAGAGCACTAACAACCACTTTTCCCTGAGTCACAGGAAGCACTAAGTCAGTGGATGAAATTACATATTGTTTTTGTCCTAAAAGCTGTCCTTGTCCCTCTGATACTGCTATTGCCCCATCAGGAGAGAAGCAGCAAAAAACCCCCAAAAAACAACCAACCAAGGTGTCCTGTGAAGAGCCCCAGACAACCTCTCCGAGGCTCTGTTAAGTAAACAAGTTCAAGAGCCACTTGACCTGGTGGCCAGTGTCACTGAGCAGCTGGACATGGCAAATGATCACCTGGCAGTAAGAGCAGTTGTTTACCCTGTTAGCCACCAGTTCTCTCTCTCTTTTTTTGTTCCAGGGATCGAACTCAGGACCTTGCGCTTGCAAGGCAGGCGCTGGAACCACTGAGCTAAATCCCCGGCCCAGCCACCAGTTCTCAAAGTAGTGCCTACTCTTTACCCAGAGGGATGCTGGTGCGAGGCAAGGGCAGAAGTGGTCCCTGGCATCACTGGGGAGCCCACTGGATGAGGAATGCTGTGACTTGAGGCTCAGGGGGACAGGGGAGCACAAGCACTGAGTAGCTAGGCCTTATTCACCTTCTGCAAGATGGCTGCAGAGCCAGAGCCATCACAGTGAGCTGCACAAAGCAGGAGCTGGCAGGCTATGTGGCGTTGGTCACCTGATCCCTACATCTGCCCAGCCTGCCATCCTGGAGCTGGACCCAGTAAGCACACTCACCTGTTTCTACATCGTTGGCATTGGCCGAGTCCCTCAGCCTCTTCAGAGCTGGGAAGAAAATAGGAGATGTTAGGCTTTTTAAAAACATCACACTGATGAAACAGAAAGTGCATGGCTTCCAAGTCTTCCTCAATCACCCACCCTTGAGGGACCTCAGTGCTAAAGGGAAATGAAGGTGCCAAGACACAAGACAAGGAGACACTTGAACCCGGCCACAGCTGGAACGAAGGCCACTTTCTGTAGCAAATCTGACTTCTGGAGCCAGATCTTATTTCTGCCACATGTAGTAGCTGCTGACCTTGAGACAGACAGTTTAACACCCTCAGGCCTTAGACTGTCAACTGCAAAACAAGGCTCGGTTATTCTACCTGCACTGGGTTGTTGCAAAGACAGAAGGAGATGATTTACCTGGAAGCTTTGTGAGCTGATCACACCAACAATCTTTTAACCTCCAAAGCAGGTCATTCCCGAAGGACTTTTACCTAAATTTGGTAACTCCTAAGCAGAAACTTTTTTCCCCCTCCCATGATACTACTTCTATATTATAGCTAATAGAAAGTAATGCCTTGAGCCAGGTAATGCCTACAGCCTGGTACATGGCTGTAATCCCAGCACTCTGGGAGGCTGAGGCAGGAGGATTGCAAATTCGAGCCCAGTTTGGGCAACTTAGTGAGAACCTGTTAAAAAAAAAAAAAAGAAAAAGAGGACCAGGGATTTAGCTCAGTGGTTCTGCCATCTGCCTCAAAAGCCCAAGGACCTGTGTTTGATCCCCAGTACCAAAAAAAACCCACCATGTAGTTCAGTGCAAAGCCCCTGGTTTCAATCCTAGGTACCACACACAAAAAAAGCAATGCCTTTGTCTTCCAACAAATTGTTACAAAATTCCAATTCAGATAACACAGATGTAATGGTTGCCTACATCCATATAGCACTTTATAGTTTACACAGCACTTTCACACTCTCCTTTCATCTTCACAATACTAAGACTTGGAGTGAATTATAGTTAGTCTGAGAAGGGACCCTAAAAGTCTCCATTTTTATCTTTCTGGGCCTCAGTTTCCATGGCATCCATAAAATGTAGAAGATAATATGGTAGACAGACCAGAGCAAGAGGCCAACCTGTGCTCTGATACTGGCACAGCAACTTTCTAGGTAGCCTCCGTGGCAAGGCAGTTTCTGAGTCTGTTTCTTCTTCAGTAAAATGGAAACAATTTCTATTTCTCTGGGGGTATTTGGGGGTTTTTGGTACCAGGGATTGAACTCAGGACCTTAACACTTGTGAGGCAGGCGCAGAGCCACTGGGCTAAATCCCCAGCCCTATCTCTGAGTTCTTGTGAGGATTACAAAGGATCCTGTATCAGAGATGGGAGATCTGATCTCTCTCTAAAACACAGGAAAGTCAAGAGCATCAAGCTGGGCATGGTGGCCCACACCTATAATCCCAGCACTCAGGAGGCTGAGGCCGGAAGATTGCCTGGAGTTTGAGGTCAGCATGGGTTATATATAGTGAATTCAAAGCCAGTTCTGAACTACATAAGGAGGAGATACCCTGTCTCAAAAAGCACAAAACAAAAACAAACAAACACAAAACAACTGCCTGCCTGCCTCAAAAGCACAAGGTCCTGAGTTGGATCCCCAGTACCAAAAACCCCCACAAAACAAAAACAAAAAAAGTGAAATGGTAATCACTAGACTAGGTGACAACAATGTAGGCAGGTGTTAGCACCAATTTGCTCTCAATAGTAAATTCTGTAAATTCTACAACACATTGACCACAAAGTATTTTTTCCCACAACAAAAGTCAAAGCAAATGGAAAAAAAAATCACAAAACATCCAACAGTGTTTTAGCACATAACAAACACACGTTAATAGCTATACATTCAGCTTTTGCAAATGGGAAGGGGACCAAGACACAGAGGGGGTAGGGGGCACAGAATTAAAATGTGTTATGTACAGGTAGCAACTCCCGACGAGGAAGGCAATCATTATGTACTGCAAACAAGTACAGTACTAAAAACATCTTTAAAAAATAGCTGTGCATCTAGTGCCTTAACTCTCACACCATTACCCTAAAGGAGGTACTGTACCCATTTTACAGATGGACAACTAAGCCTCAAAGGACTTATAGTTTGCCTAAGGGCTAAGTGCCTTAAAGAGTCCACTCCATGTGCTCGCTTCAGCAGCACATATACTAAAATTAGAAAAGTCCAGTCCAGGACTCTGCATTTAAACAAGTTGGTACAACTACTTGGTTACAGACTCTGGCCTCCTCGTCCTCACTACCCCACTTTATTATCTAGTAATAAACACCGCAGTCATGGAAAGTTTCTACTCAGGAATTACCAAGCGAGAGAAGCCTGAAATGAGTGGCCCTGAGCAGGAAGACCTTTTTTTAAAAAAAAAAAAAAAATCCATGGTCCTTAGCAGTTACAATAGTAATTATTATCACTGAAGGGAGACTCGAGGGTCACTCTGGAGGACCCGGGCCGCTCACCGTGCACCTCTTTGCCCGTGGGCCCGAGCCGGCGATGGGGTCTGGCCGCGCGCCTGAGCCGCCCGGCGGGGATCTTGCAGCGCAGCTCGTCGCGCGGCTCGGCGTCCTGCTGCCACAGGACGTGGAGGTAGCGCAGCGGGGACTGGGCCCCTCCGGACGCCCCGCCCGGCAGGGCCGCGGCGCCACTCAACGCGGACCCAAAATCGGAGAAGGAGAAGAGGCCCTCGGCTTCCGTCAGCGGCTCAGGCGCCACCGCGCACTCGCCATCCGAGCTTGAGCGGCCAGAGCATGGATCCTCGTCCGCGCCCCCCGCGGCGGCTGCCATGGCAACGTCTCCGCGTGGGCCGGGCCGCCTGAGCCTCGTTCCCGACAGACCAACGGACCCACTTCCCTCCGCTCTTAGTCTCGCTGTCAACCAGCAAGCGGGCGGGCCGGGCCTGCAACCACGGCAACCGGGCGGGGGGCGGACTCGTGGAGCGAGCTGGAGCGTTGCCACCAATAAGGATCATTCCAGTCTGCACATTATAGCCAATCTGAAAAGGAGACCATAGTACGAACAAAACAATTGGACAGAGTTTTCAGCAGCATGACCGACGCACCTGCCAACCAATCATAAATTGGACTTTCCAATGCTCCGCCCCGTGTCTCGCTACCGGAGCCAATAAAACAGATGAATTTTAAAACCCTCTTTTTTCTTTTTCCTCCCCCGTCGGATCATGGGAAAGACGACGGGTAGGTGCTTTAGCCAATCACATTAAGATGATCTACAGCCAATCACGAAGGAAAGTAAAAAAGCCACATTAAGTATGGCTATAGACGTATTTTAAATCAATGAATGGAAAAAAGTTAACTTCCCACAAGATACATAATGTAAATAGGAAAAAGAAAATAAATTAAAATGTAGAGATATTACTACGAACTATCGAGTAAAAGCTTTCAAGTACAATAGATTTTCTTTCGTTAGGGTTTTCCTGGTAACCCCGGCACTGATTACTGTTTTACAAGAAATTATAATTGATGTAATTACATCTGAGCAACACTTAAGTCCGAGAACTAGTGAGCTAGATAACTCAGGACACAGGATCAGACTGGGTGCCCCTGAAATGCTTACTAGTACTCCGCAGAAGTCAGACTCGGAAACCAGTTTTCCTACGGAGAAGTTAAGGGTAAGCTTAGCGTCTTCTCCCCAATGCACTTCTCTCAATCCCGGACTCCATAAACACTTGTATAAGGTAGACAAAGAGTATCATTCCTGTTTTATAGATGAGGAGCTGAAGCTAGAGAAGTAAGGGACCTGTTCATAGCTGTCTATCTCTCAGGGAAGCAGTCTTCCCTTCCTTGACAGAAACCTGTACTCCACGGTTCCTCCCAATACACGAACCCTCTCACTGAACACAGTTAAAATGTAATCTTTCTCTCTGTTGGAAGAGCACTTCCAGATTTTTTTTTTTTTTTTGTACCGGGGATCGAACTCGGGACCTTCTGCTTTTGAGGCAGGCAGTGGAACCACTGAGTTTAATCCCCGGCAGAACTGCATTGGGATGAAGTCTCCCTTTTTCTTTTTTGCTAAATCCCCACTCCCCAGATTTTGCAGTATTTACAGAACTCCATTGTGAGGATGATTATTGTCCATATGGGGAAAATGCTAATATTTATCTCAACCTTCTTCCTCTGCCCCATTATTGTAGACAGCTACATTAGTTAGAAAAATATTATAAGACAGACAGGTCTGGGCCCTCAGCACCCAAGACCAATTTACTAAAGACCAGGATTCAAGAAAAAGAGGAGCTACTACACCCACATATTTCCCCTAGGGATAAACAGGAGTGACTGATATTCTAAATAGGTATTAACCACCTTGGGTGGGGACCAAACCCTCCCTAGCCCATTCCTTCCCAGAAAATTCTTGTTCATTCCATGTACACTTGCTATGTGACTTGCTTCCCTATTTGATCTCCATTTCATCAATATTACCTAAGTGACTATACTTGTTGTAATCTTATTGGTTGACCATAGTTTTGTTCTACCTCACACCCACCTTGTGATTTCCCATTGGATCAATATTACCTAAGCGACTATACTTGTAATCTTATTAGTTTTTTTTGTGTTTTTTTTTTGGTACCAGGGATCAAACTCAGGTCCTTGTGCTTGCAAGGCAGGCGACAGAACCACTGAGCTAAATCCCCGGCCCTGTAATCTTATTAGTTGACTATAGTTTTGTCCAACCTTGAACCTGCCTTACCTCACTTTCTAGACCGACTCCCTTCTGTCTTTCTTAGACAGAAGCTATCTTTCTCTCAATAAATTCTTCCTACTCTTAACCTCCATTGTTCCTAGAATTCATTCTTCAGTTTTAGAGAACACAAACTCAGTGTGTTGGACATCTAGCAGGTTGGGAGTTATAATATTTCCCTTATATTATTTGGAGGTCTATAGATCATATGCCTTATATCACCATAACCTATCAGTACATATGCCAACTCCACTAGTAGCTAGAAAGAAACAGGGGAAAGAAACAGACATTGACTGTCAGGCCTTCCCTAAATCAACAGGAAAAAATAAATAGGGTGCTTTTAGAGAATACCAACTGCTTTCCTGTAAGTGAGGCTAATGGACTCAAAAATATGGTTTATAACCCCCTGACGCTAAAAAGTACAGTAATTGTGTGCTTAACTGAACAGACCGTCCTTGGGCAGTCAAGTCACCCCAGATTCCTTAGCCCCTTCCATACCTATATATGCCTAATTCCTTTCCCAGGTAATTGCTAATAATCTCTCTCTCCCGGTGTTAGCCCATCCTCTCAGGAATGAAATCTCTCCCAGCTAGCTGCCACTATCTCTCTCCCATTGTCAGCCCATCCACACATGGATGTGATAAACGCAGCTTTTCTCAGCTAGCTGCTAGAAACCTCCTGATTTCTAGTCCCTGTTAACTGGAATAAACTTTTCTTTTTCTTTTTCTCACAGCGAAGAGACTATTTTTTGTTGACAAGTGGATTCTTTTTATTTTTTTGGTTCAGGGGATCAAACTAGGGACCTTGGGCTTGCAAGGCAGGAGGCAGAACCACTGAGCTAAATCCCTGGCCCTAAGTGGATTCATTATAACATTGACCATGTGAGATTTATGAAGTGCTTGGTATATCTTACATCATGTAATTCTACCTCACAGAGCCTTAGCTGGTTAATTTTTTTTAATTTTATTTTTCAGTGCTGGGGCTCAATTCCAGAGCCTAATGCATACTACTGGAAAACCCTCTTAACACTGAGCTATATCCCCATCCCCTGGGTAGGTATTATTATGCCTACTTTGCAGATCAGGAAACAGAGGCTCTGAGATGTTATGCAATTTGTCCAAGGGTACAGATCTACAAAGTCAAAGAACTAGGCAGGAATCTACAATTCTAGCTACTTGATTTTTTTTCTTTTTTTGGTACCGGGGATTGAACTCGGGACCTTGCACTTGCGAGGCAGGCAGTGGAACCACTGAGCTAAATCCCTGGCCCCTAATTCTAGCTACTTGTGAGTCTGAGGCAGGAGCACTGCAAATTCAAGGACAGCTTGTGCAACTCTGCAAGACGCTATCTTAAAATAAAATGAAAAAAGGACTGAGAATGTAGCTCAGAGATACAGCACTTCCTAGCATGCATTGAGACCCTGGGTTCGGGCCAGGGGGCGTTGTAAAAAAAAGCTGGAGAGCTGAGATTTGAACAATATGACAAAGATGGAATCCAAGCAGAAAAAGCCACTTTAAAAACAACTGCCAATAAAAACATTACTTTGTGAATTTTACAAAATCATATGACTACGTGAGTACATTACTGGGGACCCTCCCTGGGCCAACAGAAGTCCTAGGGGAACCAAGAGGGGTAAAGCTTCAGATCCATTAGCTCCATGACAGCATCACTGGAGGTTGTACTGAAAGGGAGAAATACAGAACAGCAGGGAGCACAAGGCTTTGGAAAGCAGCCTTGGGATTCTAAATAGGATGCTCTAGCTGGATGGCATCAGAGCACATGAAGGAGGCAACAGGGAGCCCATCAGACATCTGGGGACAATGCATCCTCAAGTCTAGATGCAGGTACCAAAGCCCGGAGTTCCATGTGCTTTGATGGGAAAAGTATGGGTGTCAGGTGACAAGAAGATAAGGCAGCTTGTCCCAGAGAGTGACATGCTCCTGGACACACAGGAAATTAGTGGGAGAATAGGGATGGGAGCCCAGATTTTCATCAGATGTTGGAAATCATAAGCAGATAGCTAAAACAAGGTCCTTGATTCCTAGCATTTCTTCCCTCCCTCCCTTCCTTCTTTGTACCAAGAATTGAACTCAGGACTTTGCGCTTGTGAGGCAGGTGCTGGAACCACTGAGCTAAATCCCTGGCCCTGTAAGGTCCTTGATCCCAAAGAGCCCTATGAATCATGTACTGGTGTCTGCTAGTTTGGTATAAATCCCATTCTTAACTCGACGGCCTCCCTGGGATTGGAACTGCCCACTTCGGCTGGCCAGAGTTGGAGCTGGACCTGCAACCTGAGCTCTTGAATTCCGGAACCTAAGCCTTATCATTGCCTGCTTCAGCTTTGGCGTCCAAATTCGCCGCTTTTGCACTGTAAGGGACCAAATCTCAACTTTTACACCCAGTAAATATAGTGTTTTGAAGATATTTATTTATATATATATATGTTTGGGGGTTTTTTGGTACCGGGGATCGAACTCAAGTCCTTGCGCTTACGCAGCTGGAGGCGAAACCACTGAGCTAAATCCCCGGCCCTGAAGACATTTTTTTGAGCTAGGAGTGGTGGTGCACGCCTATAATCCCAATACTCGGGAGACTGAGGCAGGAGGATCGCCAAGAGTTCGAAGACAGCCTAGAATACAAATCGAGATCCCATTAAAAAAAAAAAAAAAAAGGGCTGGGGATTTAGCTCAGTGGTTCTCCCGCCTGCCTCGCAAGCGCAAGGGCCCGAGTTCGATCCCCCGTACCAAAAAAAAAAAAGTTAAAAAAAAAATTCTCGCCTCAGGCAAACAGTTTACATCTAAACTCCGGATTAGGTTCCCTCTAGCTCAATTTCCCTTCATGCAAGAGGCCGGCCGGAGGAAGCTGTCATCCATCTTTTGTGTGGGTTTCCTCCTGGTTCCTCTTTGCCTACTCTTTATTCCAAACTATTTCATGCCATTATTTCTGAGCTTACAACACTATTCTAAAGTCACATTACTTGGAAGACCTATCTTGGAAGGAGGAAGAGAAATCTAGGTGATTTATAGTCTTCGTCCTTCCTATCATGGCTACCTTAGCTTGCCTGCGGCCCCGGAAAAGCCTCCGGTTTCCCGACAGCCCACAGGGGGAGGGAACTTCCGGTCTCCAGAGTCAGGCTAGGACCGCTCCATTCGTTCTTTCCCGTGGTGTTTGCGAGCGCCGCTGCCATGTCTTATCCGGCTGATGACTATGAGTCTGAGGTAACGTGGCCGAAAGCGTGCTGTGGGCTCCGCGACCGGGGCAAGGGTC